CCGAGCCCCTCAGCCAGGCTGGTGGCACCTCTGTGATAGCCCTGGAGCAGCCTGCACCACCCCCCAGAGAGGATCCTTGCTTAAAGAACTGCAGCTCCTAATGAAGCAGGAGAAAAAAGGGTGAGGAGGGAACAGCAGAGACCAAATGTTATGACTGATCACAACCTTCCCCCCTGCCTGCAAAGGGGAGGGAGAGGTAGAAGAGTCAGGAGTAAAACAGTGAAGTCGAGCCTAGCAAGAATAGTAGTTTTAGTTTTGTCTTGTCTTTCTCATTCTCCTACTCTATTTTTAAATGGCAATAAAATAGTTTGAATATTCATCAAGTCAAGTCTGTTTTGCCTGTGATGGTAATTTTCTTCTCCTGACCCATGAGTTTTACCTTCTTACTTTCCCCCTCAATAGGACAGGGGGGAAGAGTGAGAACAGCCAGAGCCAGCCAAGGTTGACCCACCATACCCAGGTATTGGTTACATGGGGAAGACTCCCCAGCATGCTGAACAGATCTCCCCCTTAGCTACCCAGCAGGCAGTTAGGCTTGTTTTGCTGTGCTTATGTAAATGGCCAGCACAAAGAAAACAAAACCCTCAAGCTTCTCAGACATTTTAAAAGGTCTGTATAATTTATTATGGAATTTGAGCTTTTAGCCATTAAGTTACAACAACAATGCATAACTTGACATTCTTACAGTTGTACACATACACAATGGAAGAGACATAGCCCAGTGCTTAATCCAAACAATGCAACCAAGTTAGTACAAGGTTACCATAAAAGACAGCTGCTTGTGAATAGTTGTTGACAGACTAACAAGTTCAAACAGTTTTCTGCAGTTATGTTTATAGTAGAAGTAACTGGCTTCAAAGTTTTGGACTTAAGCTTCAGACTAACAAAATGATCAAAACTCAAAGTATTTTGCTCTTCTGAATTAAGAAGGATATGCTCACTTAAAAAATGCAGTCTCATTACTATGTTTCAGATGGTGAAAAGTAGGTTCAGGTCCAATGGAAGTACAATGGACAGTTTCCAGGCAATGCATTCTTCACACAAACACATGCAATTATAGAGACATTCTACTTTTAAAACTTTCTCAAATCAAGTTTTGCAATACAGCAGGATAGCTGAGGAGAAAGATCAGGACCCATACTGAACAAAACCAAAAGCTTTCATCTTGATTTGTGCATGTTTAATCTACAATTCCAATTCCCAAATCTTCACATATCACCTACAAGAGAAAAGAACACATCTAGTAAAGGTCAGTCTTAAGGACAGAAGACATGTTACAATTTTTACAGCCATTCTGGTTAAAAAATAACTAAAACTCATATATACACTGCTGCCACCTTCCATTTCAGGAACTGTAATTCACCGTGGCCTTATTATAAGACTGCATCTCTTCAGCTTACCCAAGGGGAGAGTCTTGCTCTTCCCTCCTCCACCTCAGCTCCTCATCCCCTTAGCCCAGCTCTAAAACTCAGTTAATTGCACAGTAAGGATGGATACGTAGTTTCCTAACTTGTCAAAATACAGCTTTGATAGATTTCATTTCCTGCCACTTCAGTTGAATTAGCTCATCACATCCTCTTAATCCAAATGCGAGACAGAGCAAAGTAAACAGAGCAGAAAAGGAAAACCAGGAAGGACCACTCCTATCTCTTTTTCTAACAGCAAGCTGTTAAATCAGCCCCAGCCACTGTGCGAAGTCTCACCCAGGGGTGGCTGAAGGGAGACATACAGAAGAGAACAGTCTCTTGACGAGCTGCCAACACAGCCCAATTCACCCAGCACCCAACACCCAGAACTCCACTCCCTCCAGGTTAACCCGAGGAGATGCTGCCGCCTCCTCTGCTGGATTTCAGCTCCACCTCTCTTTGTAGAGATGCCAAATCAGTACATTCTTACTGATCTCAGTATCTTTGCCCAGCACAGAATTATTGCATTCAATGCCGAGTGCTGAAAAATAAGCCGGTTAAAACCACACGTACAACCTCTCCACTCAAAAAATTACTGCAGGTAAACTCACTATTCAAGTGCATTTAAATCTGAAGTGTCTATGGTTCATTTTTGCTTGCTATCAAGTCAAGCTGAAGCTAAACAGTTATATACTATCAGATTTCTTTTCCAGTTCTGCATTTGTAGATTATTACTAATAAATTAAAAGTTTCTGAACCGAGGGGCCTCTAGTGTTTTTTGCTTTAAACACCAGTTCATTCTGACATGTTCATAGCTCCGTTTTAAAAATCACTTGAACTTTACAAATTTTCTCCCTAACAGTAACACCAGAAGCCATACCAATGAATGCAATAGTAACAAAACTTATCCTACAACAGTAACACCCCCTAGTCCGGCTAAGGATTTTCCCCAACTGATTTATTCACCATTGCCATTGGGGGCTGCCCACTTCACACGTGCACTGTGCTTTGGCTTTGTATAACCATACCATGTGAATGCCTCTAATGCAGCAAAATCTGACAAAGGAACAGAGGTCTCCGAGACAAGTTCCTGCATGTTTCATGAGAAACGTGCAGCTAGGAAGAGAGATAAGGCTGGGGGCAGGGAGAACAAAAAAAAGGCAGGTTAAAGATTCTCCAAATGGCAGGGGAGGGAGTCACAAGGCACCTGCAAACACAATTACAGAGTGGGAAAAAAAAAAAAAAACAAGCCACAAAATAAAAAAAACCCAAAAACCTCATTAGTTCTGACCTTCATAAAAGCTTTTGGTAGGTAAAGCGCTAGGAACTAGAAATACCAGTTTGATCCAACACAGTAGGTCCAGATGAGCGAAGTCTGGGAACCTCTATGTATCTATAGCTGCCTACACCGGTTTACTCTAAAAGATCTGTATTAGATGAGCTGTTAACAGCAGGTCATATGCTTCATGTTTCTAATCCCCTCTTGCTACTGTGTTAAGCTCCCTAGATCATCTCTTTCCTGCCCCGTACTTTTTATCCTACCACCCTCTTCTTGCTAACGCACGTTAGCTTTTTGACTGAGGTCAGACTAACGATTCGCTTCGGAAGGTCTTTGTCATCGTGCTTCCGAGGAGAGCAAACTGCGTGCTGGAGGCACTGCAATTCGGCCTTTTATTGTCATCATTCCTCAGCAGCACAGCCGGCCTTACGAGACCTCACCATATCGAAGATGAACTACGCGCAAACCCATTCGGCTGAAACTCCTGTGAAAGGCTGCCCTGAAAGAGGTATCGTGCCAGTGGCAGAAACACACCCCAGGAATCTTCACACTCCGGTATTTTCCCCGAGTCTGTACACTTCAGATTTTATAAGCACACTTTTCAGCTGACAGCTCCTCTAGCTTTTCTTCCAGCTTTCCGCCAGATCTCAGCTTTGATTCGTCAGAAAAGCTTTTTGTTTTGTAGGCATTACACAGAAGCTTAAGTACTTACCACATTTCTCCTCTCCAGCATGAATATTGCGCTGCAGGTATCAGCAAGACACAATCCACAGACTGACAAGACTTCTCTTGATAATGCCTTTTGGTTCCTCCTTGAGCTAGAGTTTAAACCCTCTCAACATTTACTACATCAATGTTCAGTATTGTGTTAAGGAAGAGGGAGAAGACTTTAATATTGAAGAGACAGTTAACAAGGCAGTTCTGGAAATGTTGATAAGCTTCTTTTGGAGACAGAAATGTCCCTAAACATTGTTTGGTTTAGTTGTGAGTTTGGTTTTTTTTTTATTTGTTCAGTTTTGGAGATGGTTGGTCAGTCATATTCCATTCTCATGTGCTTCTTGTAAGATAAAGGCATCACAAAAACTTGCACCTGCTGGTGACATCAGAACAACAACCTGACAATTTCCCAGTAAACCTAAACGTTGCACTCCTACAGGGAAGAGGCAGATTTATTTTTTTTTTTAAATAGGCATTAATGGGAATTAAACCTAAATGTTGCACTCCTACAGGGAAGAGGCAGATTTTTATATTTTTTTTTAAATAGGCATTAATGGGAATTATTTGAAGGAAATTTAGGGTGAAACATCTGCTCTGCAAAGCAGAAGTTCAGATTATACTTCCCCAGCTGAAACCTCTGTCATTTCTGGAACATTCATTCTAAAATTAAAAAAAGTTATTGCTTCTATTGAAGCTCAATATAAGTTAGAAAAAGAATTGCATATTTTCTTAAAAACATTCCAAATATACATTTTAAAAACAAAATGCACTCTAAAACAAATGTCTAATAAAAGACACTGTTTTAAGCAACCTGTAGTAACAGCTTTACAAAAGAAAACTGAGGAATGTAGCATATTATTTATAACATGACAATGCTAAAATCCTAAACAATTCACTTAACACTCTTAAGTCGTGTTTTAAATATACATATTTCTTTACAAAACAGTTTAGCAATTCCTTATACCACTTGCAGTATATAAATATTTGAATAAGAGGTCATAATGGGAGATGCCAGGGTTTATATTTACTCTCAGATGCTTCAGGTTTCTTAAGTGTTTTCCTATAAGGCACAATACTGCTAATCTAAAAGAAAGGAATAAAAGCTAATGGCAAACCCAGTCAAAACTCCTAATGTGGAATATCCAAGAAAAGAATTCCAGCATCTCTATGTAAAGGAGAAGAAAAAAAAACAGAACAGAATAAAACCAAACTCTGTAGCTCCTAAGAAACAGTTTCAATTTGTACATAACCAAGTGGGACAGGATGGGAACAGGAATAAGAAGGAATTAAGTAAATTCTTATAAATAGACTAATAAATATATTTTAGCCATAATTAGCCCTTTACCTCTGTTCTACTGAGTTTAAGATTGAAAGAGGTAACCAGTGTGCATATACCTAAATAAGTCTACATGCTCAGCACGTCAAGACCACCTAGCACAACCTATTACTGCCAAATCCAGTATAAAAAGCTAGCGAGATGGGAGAAAGTCTCCTTTTCTCTCAGCATCCACTCTGAGTAGAACACATTACAAGATGAAATTACTATTTGTTACATGTAAGGAAAGTTGCAACTAGCAATTTTTTCATCACGAAGAAAAGGATATGCAACATATCCGTGAAGTTATTTGATTCCTTCAAGGTTAGATTATGTCTTTTCTAAGAATATCCATCTCCAATTACAACAGATCAGAACTTTCAGAACATTTTAATATTTGCAGTCTTGTAAGTGTTCTCCATGTGTACATACTGAATGTAAATAGTGCATCCAAAATATTTATCCATTAGACATTCTACATTGTTTTCACTGCCTAGTCTTCATCTTTGTTACAGCCCTCTGGAACACAACGACATTGTAACAATGCTTACAGAAAAAGGGTTATTGCATCTTTTTTTAGGATGAGACATCCAGAGGAGATTTTATAAAATCCTCCTGTGTACAAAATTCTTAGTTATTAGCCCTTGTGGAACACCAGCTAGAAAAGTTTGAAAGGTAAAATAATTTACATTGTTATTTTTTTCCGTTAACTAGACAAAAGTCCATACTAATTAAATAAAAAATAATAGTTCTTCAACAGTCTATTCAAGATCTCTTCCACGAAGCAGTTCAGTGGGAATTTCCATTAGATAGATGTTCTCCATGCCGGTTATTACTGACATCCACATCTATAAGTCAGGAATTAGAAGAAAAATTGTTTGTTGATTTACCATTTTAACACGTTTTATCTGTTACATTAATCCAAACTCTGGCAACAAATTCCATATTGTTATATACCTACGGTTCTCAAGATTCTCTGGGTAAGTAATCCTCCTAAAACACTGTTTACATTTTTTTTAACTCCCCCTCTCAAGACCAGTTTCCTCCAGCTCGATGGAATTATCTCAAAACCTACCTGCTTGTATTTTTTCAACATCAGCAGCAAGTGACACCACTCAGTCTGGTCCACACTGCAATACTAACACTATTAATATCAATTAGAGAATGGCTTCTTCTAATGCAACGAATGGCATTAAGGGTTGTCAAGCAATAAACGAAATTCTTGCTTACCAAGTAATGCTGTGGTTTCACCTGCGTCCTCTTTTAAACTGGTGCACTGCAATACCGATTCATTAGTGGAAGAAGCTGACAATTCGCTTATTTCATTCCTGTCATCATCTTGTAAAGCGATACTCAGACTTCCGACTGAAACGCTGCCACTTATTGATTCAGGTATGGGTACTTCAAGTACATCTTCAGGGTCCCCCTTCAAAATTAAAATATATTTAACTGACATTTTTGTCTACCATCAGGCATCAGCATTCCTCCACGTTACCACTTTATAACTTCACCTTCTTGGAAAAAAGACCATTTTTTTTTGCCTATTATCTACACACTCATGGGTACAGTGTTGAGCGGTGTCTACTTTCAATGTTACTGACTGCAAAGAAAGCAAGCCAAGCAAAGGAAAGCCACTTTTTCAAAGCCACCCCAAAGCCAAGAGCAGCAACAGGAGGGGTCAACCCAGCCAGCCTTTTGGATGGAATATTTCAACATTGTCACAACAGTATTGCTGCAGTCTGGTTGGGAGCAGGCTCAGCACATACAGTCTTTGCTGAGCAAACCTATGGATTCTTTTTGACTTTTTGGAAGCCTCTGTTTTTCATTACAGTAGTTGGGCAAGCTCAGACTTTTTTTTTTCCACTGGGGCAAGCAAACATTTGACATCAGAACGAACTTCCCTCCTCCTCTACCTCCAGCCTAACTTTAAGTCTGTTCCAAAAATGCAAATATGCTGGCTTGTCACTTTGCAGGAACAAAACGTCTGCAGCACAAAGGAATTTATTTCACCTATTGTATAGCATGAGCTATTTCTGATCCATTTTGAAAGTTAATTCGAGTCCTACATGCACAAATCTGTTCCCAAAATTAAACAGACTACCTTCACTAAGCCATTGCCATTGATGTACTGACATTATTTTTTATACATAAGCAAGTACACTGCAGTACAAGTAGCTGTTTTGTGGGCTTCATAATGAGTATTTTTCCCCTCCTCAAACAATTAGCAAAGGCCCATCTTAAGATTTAAGAAATTCTAGGCTGATTCTTTCTTTAGCACCAAAGCAGCATATTTAAAAATGTACTGAATTTTAATAAGCTATAGAACTGCTACAGTTGAACACAAGTTAAGACACATGTGATACTAATCTCTACCTGTGTGGGCAGGGGGCGTTAATGACTTTGGTTTCTAGAACTTAGGCAGTTAAATAAGCACCGAAACGACAAGATTCAACAATGCTCTAAATCAGTCAGGCCTGCAGTTGTTTTTCTTGCAAGAAATAGCGTAATGCAGAACTAGACCACTGAGGTCCGCTCTTTACAAAACAAAAGCCAGGTAATAGGCCTTGGTGCCTTCTTTCTACTTTGAGCCTTTAAAAATTTTGAAGCATCTGAAGTATTTATTTGTTCTCTGTAAAACTGAATTGGGCCTTCAGCCTCCTTGCAGAAGGTTTAGGAGATTTCTATAATAAGGCTGCACATTATTGACTGCAGCTACGTCACTCGGCGAGCACACTGCTCAAAGGAGCTGCCTTGCTCTTCACACTGTTTTGCCCTCACATCAGTAAAAAAACTCCACGCAATCATGCTACAAGCTAGATTAGGCAACCTAGATCAAGCAGAAAACTAAGCTAGAAAAAAAAATACTGAACGATTTCCCACATTATTAGCTTCAGTGGGACCTGAATGATTGATGCATAAGCAGGACATGTTTCCCCCATTCAATTAGAAAAAAAAGAACAGGGTTTCTGTGTTTAACAATCCTATTCAACCTGCTTTCCAACATCCACTTTGCCTAACAAGCAGAGGAGGTATTATGCCTCCTGGTTCGGCTTGGTATCAGTATCCTCTGCAACATCATGACTTTGAGGAATAAGTATTCTGAAGGTTCTAGTATTTCAGTTTTCAGCCTGTATATATCCTTCTGTGTGTAACACAAGTTACATCAACTCCAAGAACTGAAAGCGAGCAAGAAGTAAGCTGCTAACATAACAATATAGAAGTAATAATAGCCATTTCACATGATTGCAACTAAAACAACAAAAGATTGCAACTCCTAGGTAAAGTCAGACTTAATACACAGAAGCGCCATGATCTGGTATATATATATATATAACATAGCAAGAGTATTGTCACCTTTGACAAAACAAAAAAGTAATTCATAAAAGTCTTCCATAGATCTGCTAAGTCTCTGCAACGAAATAAGAAAAGCTAGTCGAAACGCAGACCTAGCCTATGAAAGAAAGGTCCCTGAAGCCAAGGAACACCCCTGTTTTCTATAGATCAGTAGAAGAAAGAAGAGGTATGTTCATGCCTAAGGCATTTTAGTGGAACTCAAGGCTATTTATCAACAGTGACCGAGTAACCTACCGCATGTGTCTTCATCTCTCTTTTCTGGTGCTGTCAGAAAGAAATGAGAGCACATCATTTTCTCTACTTAACCAATTTCTGATGAACGTCTTTAGGAAGGTTCTAAGTACCGGCTCATTTACAGGGAATAAAACACCAGGCATATGCAGAACTACACAAACACTCAAGACAGAAAAACTGTAGTTTCTTCCTTTGAATTGGAGTTCTCAACAAGATCAAATATATGCTCTGGATCTATTGAATTAAGTTATATTTTTGCAGCTTGGGCAAACTGCCTCATCTCTGCTTCGACTTCCTTACTGTCATCAACTGGAGACAGAAAAAAATTGGTTATTGCAGAAGGTTACACAGAGGATTCATAAGTTGCTTGATACACTGTTTAAGATCTTACCCATAAAATTCCCTTATTTTTCTGGTTCTCACTCAATTACTCTTGCATCTTTGCCCAGCTTCTTCAGTCTTGTCAAGTAACAACTGCTCTCATTCTAAAGTTACATGAAGCCTTGCCTCCTGCACTGTACTTCTGCCTTGAAGATTAAAGTGCATGTGCAACATACCCAGTATCCCAAAGCTTTGATAACATCCAGTTTACACATTGGACAAGTTCGGTGATCCAAAAGCCAGGGGTCAATGCACGTCCTATGGAAGATGTGCCTAAAGAAAAGAAATGCCCTTTAGAACTTACCATAAGCCACACACTATTCCTTCAAACAATGTGCAAAGTTACTACAGTAAAAAACAAACCCGTTCCTTTATAACCTTGACAATTAGGTACTGCTTAATTTACTAGGACAGACAGTTATGGAAGCATCATCTTTCACGCTAGCTTTCTGAAACAAAAGACTGTACTAACCACAGGGTTACCAGTTCAACAATTGTCCTGGTTTGGGCTAAACCAGAACTAATTCTGTTTTAGTGCTTTAACTTTTCAGTTAAGTCTCCTCTAACCAACTGCACTTTCTGAAACAGCAACATGTTTTTCCAGACAGTGACTGCTCCTAGCAGTGATAAGGCCTGATGTTTATAGTTCGTACCAAGGAATGGTGTGCAGAGGCCCTTGCTTATACTTGTTCTTATGGCAACCAAGGTCACTGCTAAATCTTGTGCTGCGTGTTGGGGTGCCAGGAGAAGCGAACCGGACAGGTGACCCAAACCTGACCAACAGTGTTCCATCCCATACACGTCATATTCAGTATAAAGATGAGAGATCACGAGGGTCTCGCCCTCTTCGTCTCTTCCTCTCTTCTTCGATGGCTGACATCTGAGGAGGACTCTGTCTGTTCTTCTGTCGTCGATCCCGATCCGTGCATCCCTGAATCCAGTGCCTGAGTCCAGCTCCTGCATCCTGTCCCTGTCTGCTGCAGAGTCCAGCCTGGGACTGCCCCAGTGCCAGCCCTGCAGTGTTGGTGGTGATGTATCATCATTAGGGTGGGGGAGTTGGGCTCGGTATTGGTGTTGTATCTATTTTTATATTTATTGTATGTATTTCCTTATTTCCTTATTCTTATCTTTTCTTTTATTGTTATTGTTTCATTAAAGCTGTTTTAGTTTTCTTTTCCAAACCGTAAAGTCTCTCTCCCTTGTTCTCTTTCCTTTTCCCTTTTGGGAGGGGAGAGGGGTTAGTAGAGAGCATCTGTCATTCGTTAGTGGCCGGCCCAGCCTCAAACTGTGACAACAATGTACAGTTCTAACTTTAAGTTCTACTTTGCTCCTACACTTCTCCCAATTGCTCCTTTTTCCTGCATAGCTATGAAGTGCTACATGGTCTCCCAGGGCCCTTCAACGTTTAACAGGCCATACAAATGGCACAGCTTCAACTCTGCCACCAGAGTTGCAGAAGAGGTTCCAGAAAGCTCATCACATATTTCTTAAGGAAAAAAAAAAACCAACAAAACACATGCTAAAGAAGAAGGAATAATTATGGCAACTTACTTGCATGGCAGAATTCGGACAGTGTCTTTCAGTTTATAGTTCTCAATGCACACAGCACAGTTTTCCACATCAACATCTAAACCCTAAATACAACAACATGTTTAAATGCATTGCATCCATATTTGATTACAGAACAAGCTTTGTGTAATAGCTAGCTCCACAAGAATGTCAAATGTATAAAATGTTTCAGCAAATAAAAATATTTCCCTCATTTGATACAAGGTTCCACCAAGAGGTGATCTGATCAAGTGATACCAAGTACTAAAAGCAGCCAAACCTCGCTATGCGTGGTACCTCGCTATGCGTGGTACCTCGCTATGCGTGGTACCTCGCTATGCGTGGTACCTTAAGCAATTCGTTAAGTCTCAAGCATTGGCTTTTCACATGGGAGCACAGTAAAACTTCAGTTTAAACTAACTATAAGATGAAGACATTTTAAAAGAGGTAAGCACAGATGGAAGTGCACAATCTTAATTCTTAACTGATGGTCTCAAAGACTTCCAAGTGCTTAAGTAGGAAGAGAATCTTGGGGTTGAATACTGCAAACCCCTACTTTTTCTTTCTACCGCATCCTAGCAGATATCCCTTGATAGCTAGAAGAAAATAACGGAAGTATGTGATCTGGGCTTGTTTTTAAAACTTCTCTCCAAGCTCACACCAGAGAGACAGTCAAAATGCAGTATTTCCCCACCTCAATTTGTTTCTTCCTAAGGTTTAAGTATCTTTCCTAACAGGTCTGTCTTCTCGAAGCCACACTTATAGTTGCAGTGGAAATATGATGGGTATCTCCAGATGCAAGAGAAATAATTCAATGTTAATTGGGTTGCATAAAACATAAGTATTAGAAGAACAGACAGTGGGCCGACGACTGCTTTCATCCCCGCCAAAATCAGTATTTTGTGTTTACTGCTTACTGAAGCACTCCAATTTCGTTACCACAAACACTCAAATGAATTAGTACTACAAGCAACTTTCAAGTTCAATGCAAGTTTTTCCCCTCCTTTGCATGCTATCAATTTACACAATTAATGACTTAAATTCCCAAGTAAATCAAATCAAGACTTTTTTTTTTTTACAGAACAAGGTTAAGACAAATAGTTATTCTATAATATTTTTTTTATCCTGTCCAAGAGGCAAAATCCAAGCACACCATATGCAGCACATACTCAAAATGAGTGTCCATTTTACAATAATCCCATAAGCTTCTCAGGAAAGATCTACATGATAGCAAATACACTTTTAAAATATTGACCTATTTTTTAGTTAAATACCTCAACCTCAAGTGAAACGATAATAAAAGATCGTACTGTGTCACAATAATGGCTGAAAGGAAACATTTAAAGAAAAAAAATGTACATTTACAGAGTAGACGGGACTATATTTCCAGATAAATTTACATAAGTTCATGTAAGTACCTCTGCATCAGTAAGTTACATAAATTTACTGATAGTAGGCTGATTCAAATCAAATTAGAAGTCATGACTTATCAAGCAGAAAAACTCTCTTTTAATAGAGATTAACAGTATCTCGTTCTACCTTGCTTAACTAACACGGCATTCATAGTTACAACCAGCATACTGTATAACAACTCAAATTCCCCCCCACTTTATTTATTTTAGTCAAGGGTGTATCGATCGGAAGGAACTACCCAGTACCCTGCAAAAATCTCAGGACACAAATAATTTTTAGAGGTTTACTGAACATCAGCTGAAAAGCAGTTAACATCTCCCTTGTGGCTCTCCCCATAGGTTTCATCATGGCCCTTTTACATCCACTTCTTCCTATACTGATGTTATGCTTTGATACTGCTTTACACAAGTTTTGGTTCAATTCCATCTTTCTTGATCTCTGATCTCACCATTGTATGAACAGAAGTATGAATACCCCTCTGTTCACAGCTTCAAATAGATTACTTTTTTGAAGGCATTTAGAATATAATTAAAAGTAACATGTACCTGTAAGACGCTACTTAAGCATGCTGAACGCATAAGAGGAAAAAAGACAAGTTCAAAGACAGTTTGGGGTTTTTTTAAAATTTCAAAAATTATTTACTAAATGAAGGACATATTCTCTGTAGCCTGTGACCTGAGCTGAGCAGCTCCTGTTGAACCACAGCTTTTAAACTTCTTGCACATAAATGTCCTTTCTCACCTCAATTTTACTCATGGACTAAAAAACTAATCCTTGTTTTTCCTCTCTGAGCAAATCAGTCCTTAAGTAAAAACTAATCAAATAAGACAGGGGTTGGGGGGGGGGGAAGTCTACGTAGTTTCTGTCTAGACTTCTGGTACTAATTTAACATCTAGGATCAGAGCTGCCTGAAACTCCAACTAAAATAGTATTTTCTTTCAAAATTTGGCTTTTTCTACTTCAGTTATTCTAATACAGCTATGTGTTTAGGCCATATGCTGTCAATGCTAACTTTTTGAAAGCGGTTTTAATTTTTGGAATAGCTTTATTGTAATACATAGAAATGTACTTTAAAAAATTTATGCTTCAAGTAAGTCTATGCAGCTCCTTAATGTATTGTATGTCAAAAGATGAAACAGGAGTTTAATTTTTCCAAACTTTTCAGATTTCTAAGGCCTTCTGATCAACAAAAAGATGGACGTACTTTTAAGAAAACAAAACATTACATCAGCTGAAAGAACACTAGGTCCTAGGAAGTATTTTGCAATCCACTTCTTGATGTTTTCAAGTGCTGAAAAGATAGTAGTGTTTCCTCATTGTTACAGTATTCAGCCCTGTAGTCTCCTGCAACATTCTGTATAACCAGGTATTACTGGCAACAAAACAGCGTTACATTCCTTAAGAATTTCAAATTTGACTCTCCAATTTTAAATTCTGCCTTCTAGGCAAAGGCCCTAAAATGAGCCTAGAATTGTAAGTCACACTGCAATTATGTTGTGAGAATTTTAGTTTAAATTCTATAAAGACATTATAATAATTTTTAAATCATACAGCAATAACCAAAGCCACTGAATTACCTTTTCTCCACGTTTCACAGTATGCAGCTGAAGCTGGCTGATTGCTTTCTTGGTTTCTTTCCTATGTCCCTTGAATAAAGATTTTACATATTAGTATACAAGTTAGTTTTAAAAGTTACATTTCAAAGCTTTTAAATATTTTCATGTGGATTACTCAGTCTTCCGAACGCATCTAAAAAAATTAATCTCTGGCTGATTTGTTTACAAAATACTTCCAGCCAGCAGATGTTGAAGAACTGCAAGTTTTGCATTCTCGGGGCACAGCAGCAAACATTATCTGTAAGTGGACTGCTCTTACAGTGAACTCAACTGGTGCAGAACTATGCAGACCAAGTTGACGTACGTAGCCTTGTATCGGGACTGCATTAAAGCCCTTCCCGGACAGGAAAATTGAAACTAATGTAGGCTTTATAGGCAATCAGAGCTCGAACAGCCGCCGTATAACCAGATCTTCTAGTTAGTCGAGCCCACGAGCAAGCACACGGTCCATCTTGCACCACCTTGAGAGAAGGTGGAATCCTGCTGGACAGCCTACCGCTGGCCACCAGGTCAAAAGGCTGCTTGTAGCTATTAATACTTCCCCCAGTTAAACACTGTCTCACACATTACACAAAGCTTTGCACTGAAAGGACACATTATGCAAAGGAGATGACAAGAAAGGCTTAACAGACATGAGACACCATACTGGACTTCTATACAGTAACAGTCCTAATTATGCTTAGGGGGGAAGCAAGAAAAGAAAGCAGTACTGTATTCCAAGACAAAGTGCTAGCTACTGCTAGAAACTGAGAAACCAAACACTCCCAATTAACAGATGTTGACCTGTCTAGCAGCAACCCTCACTGATGAAATACCATAAAGGAATAAAAAAACCCTAATGGCAGCTTTTCTCTGTAGTGGTAATTACAATGACTTATATCATTTTATAAACTTACAAGTATTGAAATTTGGGAATTTTTTTAGCGTTTTAGTGTTATAAAGAATTAGTCAAAGTTATCTCAGAAATGGACAACCAGCAGCAGCAATCCATTCCACCTTCTGTATCACCTCAGAGTTTTCCGACTGTCCTGTTTCCTCTTCAGTAGCAAGGTGGTCTTCCAAAATTTTACTGCTAAACTGATGTTAGAATAAATCTTAAGATACCCATCTTCACCTTTATTTAGCAGCTACACAGTAGCTTCTTTAAAGCATGGCATGCTTCCAAGTTTTAATTATACTAGAGTCAATAAGCCAAGCAGAGTAAGATTTGGGTTAGAAAAGTGGCTTTCTGTTTCCAAAATTCTTTTAAGACTCCTAATGATCTATCTTGACTAGGACCTTCACAACATTTTCAGACTTGGCACAGTTCTGTAAATTTTTGTTTTCAATGGCCATTTTAAAAGAGGGAGAATTGAGAAAGTGGCATAACCTTCTAATGCTAGACAATTTCATTTAATTAAGAAGCATTTAGATGACTAATTACACAATGGCAAAATCTATTAAGTCAGTGGTACATATTTCTGGGGAACATCACATTCACCCTAAAAAATGCTCTTCGAACTATTCCTAAAGCCTGAGAACTTCCCTTAGCATGAACTAACCTAAGCCAACAGGAAGGAGCAACTTTCTTCACCGAATAACTATTACCAAAAAAGCACCCTTTTTTTTCATACATACTTCTCAAAAATTTTGTCTTCTTGAAAGTGTTCCCAGAATGCAAGTTCTAAGACTTAAAGCTTAGTAAGAAAGACTCTAAGGAACCAACATTTCAAGGAGACCTCAAGTTTAACCAATACAAAAGTCCCATGTGTTATCCTCAGTTACCAAAAAGAGAAATTAAGTATTTTCCTAGATGAGATCCTAATCAGATCTCAGACTCATGAAGACAAACAAAAATTCCCTTCCCTCCTCCCCCAAAGGTAGAATCTACATGTTCAAGCAGAAGGCAGGGGAAGTTCATATGATAAGCGGTCATTTGAAACAATTATTTTTTTTGTTCTGAACTGAAGATAAAAGAAAAAAAAAAAAAAGAGAACTGTTTGCAAAGAAAAACAAGTGCAACTTTCTTTTTCACTGTTAGTAAAGAACTATGGTAAAGCTGCTGATGACCATGGAAGGAACCTAACTTACTTGCAAGAGCAGAAAAGCACAAGGAAATGCCATCCTAAGATATTTTCCAAACTTAGCTGGACTAGGTCCTGAGCAACTCCATGTAAGTTGCTCTCTTGAGTGCAGGGGTTTGAACCAAATAGGTTGGAAGGGCCCTCTGGAGGCTAAATTACTCTACGATTAACAGAAAGAAGGGGAAAAAAAAGTAAAGCTGACTTTTTTTTTTAACCCATCAAAGAACAGGAATGCGGAAGAGGCAAGCAAGGAGCAAAGTTATTCCTTCCTGATCATCCCAGTACTCCCATGGCTCTCAGCACTTCAAGTAGTCCAAGAGAGCTGAATCTCATCACACATGCTCCTTCTGGTCTGCTGCAATTCAGTACTCTACAATGGAGTGGTAGGATTTTTTTTTGATTCCAAGTATCAAAAGTAGTTTTCACAAAGCTTCAGAATGAAAAATTCTAGCCCTAACTGCTCGTGGGTCTGATTAAGAAAAAAAATTTACCATGGTCTCTTTCCATTAAAGTCTGGTTAGGGAAGTCAGTACTTTCAGAATAAAAATAATTTTTAATGTCAAAAGGAAGGAAGGTGATAAATCACAGAAGCAGCTGCCTTTAACTCAGTTGTTGACAAGTGGCTAAATGTATTTCCCACAACTTCATACAAGTATCTAATAATCATAACTAGCCAGACTTGCAATGCCAATTAGCACACTGCTTATTAGCCTTGCTAACCATTACTGAGCAGCATTCACAGATAGCAAAGTAGCAAGAAGGCACAGATCTTCAAGAATGCTTCAACAAACAAGCACAGTTAGGCAACTGATTTGACAGGAGCAGACGGTAAATACTGTAAAGCATCATCATCTCCAATTACCTGGTTTCCAAACTGTGATCCTGTATACAGGAAACGTTGTATATAGTAAAATATGAGCCAAGCGAGCGATATAATCATCATGGTGATGAAGGCGATGGCTACAAACACAACCGACTGACCACTAATATATTCCTGCACATGTCGTGTGCCAACAACAATAGTCATTTTTACTGGAATCCCTCTTCGTACTGGCTCCAATATCTCTATTCCTTTTGGGTAGCCAACCATTATCACAACTGTATTTCCTGTTCCTGTTGGAGGGGAAAAAAAAAGAAAAAAGTCAATCATCACAATAAAACATTAAGCATTCTGGTTTGATGGTAATTTTGGTCTCTTCAGTTAAGATCAGCGCATAAAGTTGTAGGAAAACCTCTGAGTTTTTTTCAGGCATAGCAGAATTGATAAAGTTTACCAGTAAAGAATCATTTATTTACTTTATGAAGCTCTCAAACACAAGATAAACTTCAACAGATGCATCTTTATTGTTCAAGGCCCTATACTCCTCATTCCACACAGTGAGGTGGGATGTGCATGCCATACAAAAACCAGGCAAGTCATACACATCTCATCTTGAAGTGGCTGAAGTTCTAACATTCAGCTCAGGAACAGCTGGTCCTTTATTTGTCAGTGTGGGAATTTCAGCTGCAGATGGAGACAGTATGTGAATACCATGAAAAGAGACACATTCAATTAAGTTTAAATCTGAATCCATAGCACAATTACACTGGATATGTGAACAAAAAGAGAAAAAAGGAGTCGTATTTAATATTAAATTACATTAAACATTGAAATACTTAAAGACTCTTCAATACTAAATATTCAAAATGTAATGAGGCTTCACACAAGGACTTTTCAATAAATACTTTGGGACTCTCTTGGGAGCATGGAACCAAAGGATTTTTCTATTATATTAGAACCCAAAAGCACTCAATCCATATGACCTAATTCCAAAAAAAAAAAACACCCACCAAACCCTTGAAGCACCATACTGCCACCAAAACCAGTAAGATGCTGTCAAGACCAACTAGCAGAAACGAAAGATCCCCTGTGGCTACAGTTTTACTCCATTTTGTCTGGAAGCATCTCCAGTATTGTCTCAGAAACAAGCAAATGTACCTGTTAAAAATGTCACCCTTTCACTGGTCTATGCTATTTTTTACTTGAATATGTTCTTTGCACATACCGACACTGCTATACACCCTTGGAAAGTCATGGCTTTATAGTTTACTTTGCACTCCTACCTCTGAGAAAAAGTGAAACCAAGCTTGATTCAGAGAGAAAGCAGAGGAAGAAGAAAGAGAGGGGTTTTCCTAGCCAGAAACCTAAAGCTGTAGTGTCACAGGTACCTTTTCAGATTCACAAGATTACCTACCTGCCACAAGACCTCCCACTGAAGACTTAAAGCCTTTTGCCCTCCCAGCTGTGTTAGTTTCACTACTGAGAAGCTATGTCAAAAGAAATGGTTGCCTAATTTGTAACATTACATCAAGTGGGGATTTTTGAAACTCAAAGCAGCATTCCAGTCTCACCCACCTCTCTGCCTACTATGACAAAGAGTTATTTGCCTCAAATATTTAAAACAAACCCCTTTAGTTGAGGTGGTTCTAGCTGTAACACCTCATCAACTTGGCCACTCTGCTACCATGCCAAAGGGAATTTGCAGAAGCTTCATTTACGGCAGCTTCTCCCTCTGCAAGGTGCAGACAGTCTGCTGTGGATGAAACACTAAAGGTTCCAGTTACTAGTTGAATAACCCTCCTGTCTCAATACCAGTTACTCTTTTTCAGCTTCACCTTACACAACCATCCCACTTCTGGTCACCTACCGTAAGAACCATTATACCCATCTGCCAGATCCAGACCCAGCAAAAAAGCAGACTTTCCAATTAGGGTTACGTTTCTGAAAGTTTTGAGGATGGTGCAGAGAAAGATGCTACTGGGGAAAGGCCCAACTTGTGCCTCCCATCAGGCACCCCACTCGGCTTGCCAGCAGCACCACCCAGCTCCCAGCACGCATTGCCTTGCCTGGTGGGTGCATTAGGAGACACAACACAACAAAGCTGAAGACAAACTGGACAAATCCAGAAGCAACTAGGCTCCCCTAATTAGTTCTACTCACCAACAACGTGACGATCCACATGATACCACAAGTCCAAGCACACCAGAATTGGTTAATACTATTCTCCTCTCTGAACCAGCATGAAAGCATTACCAGAAAGACTCATGAATCTCATACAGAAGAGCGTGTGAAACACACCTTGCTTTCTGACCCCACGCAGCCTCACAGGGAATTAACAAGGAAAGAACATGTGAGGGTAGAAATTTATTTCGCATTGCTGAGAACTGTTATCCACATACCTATATTAGGAGATTAGGTCCTGTGTCCTTAATCAACTGTAAGAGTTACAAATAACAGAAGGGGTGCCTAAGGATGGCTAGTGACCAGTGCTAGAAAGATTTACGTGGTTTCCTTCAGGCTTGAGGAAAAGAAAGTTTCAAGATTAGAGGCAGACTGGATTTTTCAATTAACAAAGGCTTCCTCCTAAATCCCAAACTCTTGAGTCAGTTTAATCCTGCTATCTAGTTCTCTGCACGATTTCTAACAAAGAAGTATTTAAAAACCCCACAACAATCAGTAATGCCTTGCTCTGTTTTGTCACTAGCATGTCCAACCATCAGCCAGTTATATCCTTGAAGTGGAAGTCAGGATACTTTTGTGCAATGGCTGCTAGACGCTGTGACATGTTCTAGTTTTAGAACACAAGTATGCCATGCATTTTTAAATAAATGCCCATTAAAAGCATTTTAACAGTTTTAAAGACTTGGTGATGAACCTGCCGTTAAAAAGAATATATGCAACCAAACACGACGGCCTTGAAGGTCATGAGATGGAGGAAAGGGAAGAAAAAAATAATTGCAATCCACTATTACAAAAGGAAGAACAGTCTCAGAGCAGCACATGCCCTGAGCGGCCTATAAGACTAAGGGCTTTAACTCATTCCTCACTAATTTTAGACTTCTGTTCCGAAACTCATTATTCAAAGACTGAAATGCTGTTGAGTCATTCCATCAGCTTCAACTGCAACACAACTCAGAGACCTCAAATCACATTTCTAAAAGAACTCCAAGTGTACATACACATATCAACTGAGAGCACGCTTTGTTGGTTTTAACTTCCTATAACTTTCTAATTTTGCAATAAATAACCTTGTTTACTCTGCTAGAGTAAAATTGTTTTCTTTTCTAGGCTTGACTGATGCTTCAGTGGAATCAGGTAGATTCGAAATCTGTATGTGCTTTTTTTTTTTAACGTTATCATCCAAATAAAGCAGTGAGAGCTGGCAGATCCTTAGGATACCTGGAAAAGAGGGCACATTTGGAACTCTGAAGATGAAGATGTGCTTCCTGCCAGCATGCCAAGGTCAGTTTTACTGCTGGTATTGCTAGCATTCTCTTGCAAAAGCAAACCAGCACCCTCCTGATGAGGAAAAAGTAGTACAGATACAGATCTTGATTCCAGGCACCCAAAGCCATCACATTTATTCCCATTCATGCCTACAGAAAACAAAGATAAAATTCTATCACCTGGAAACCAATTGCAGACATACTCTAGGTTTTGTCCTCATAAGAAACACCAGAAAGCTTTGAGAGTTTGAGCACTGTGTAAAAAGAGTTTGAGGTCAGTCCTTTGATCTGTTTAAGCACAGGCACCCTACTAATATTGCCACAATTAACACTGAATGTTCTCTTTAGCTCCTGGCCCAAATGAATGTCTCTGATCTATACAAAGGTATAACAGTACACTAAGAACCTGATGACAAGCTTTGTCTCAACCATCTACCCCAACCCCATCTCACCAAATCCCTGGTGCATGTTGTGTTTCCACCTTCCTCAAGAAGGAGGATGCGTAACCAGAAGAGTCAAGTAGTCAAGCAACCAACACTGGTACACATTCCTCTTCCCACTTTGGTTTCCAACACATATACACTCTTACATATTAAACAGGTATAAGCATTTTGAAGGTACTCCTGCTTCTTCAGAAAAATACTGCACAGTCAGAGTCAAGCAAGTCGCTGATTTCAGTTCTGTCCTTTCAGTAGTACAGTATGAGAAGCTTTTGGTAGAAAGCATCATTAATACAGAAGTTATGCACCACTTGAGAATCCCGAGTAGTGCTGAAAGCAATGTAGCAAAGAATTCAACTATATGCCAAAACAATCCTAACTCTGCTGGTCTGGAGCTGGCAAGAGCTTAAAGTCACGAGTACAAAGTTGTTCGCATCTGTTTTGTTCAACATACCTGCATTAAAAAACATGGCAATGAAGGAAAGCACCAGTTGGGTGTATTTTGGCAAAGCTGCACCAAATCAAAGACCATTTTCCTTACATAGCCAAAGTCATACACTCAAGTTGAGTCCCAAGCTCCAGAAGCCATGCATGAAAGCTCCACTCCAGACCTACCTCAAACTACTGTAGCCAGTCCTCCTTCCTCCCTTCCCCCTGTGCGTCAAGCACAATCATATTTTATTGCTTAGTCCTCAAGGTATCAAACTTACTTTCCGATCAGGATCGCCAAATCCTAGCTTAAGGGGATTCAGAAATGGCCCAGCATGGAGTATAATAGGAAACACATAGAACCAGAAGATCATTTTTTTTCTTTCCACTGCAGTATACTTCTGCCTCCCTCTAATTTATCAGCCAGCACTGAGCCTCTTAACTCTCCTTAGTCTGCTCTCCACAATACTCCACACCTTGCCTCTCCAAACTCCTCTCCAACCCACTCCCAGCTAATATTTACATACAATACATATTTTGGTTTTGGAAAGGATTTGAAGCCTCTGTATTATATTAAGTTCACCACCAAAAATGAACAGAGTTAAGACTGCCTGTAAATCTATATTCCTGTAAAACTCAAGCTTGAGTTTATACTATTCAGATTGAAGGCGTTGTACTTCAGTTACTGAGTCATTTGTGTAAAATGAGTATCTTCCACTGGAAAAAAAACTCCTCAGCCACATGTGAAGTTGTTTCACTATTACTTCCCCCAAGGAGGGAAGTCATCCAGCTTTTTGAACAATGTAATTCGGGCAAAGAGCAAAAGCCTGAAAAACATGAGACATCAGCAGAGTCGTATTTGAAGAACTTTCTTTTGGAAGGACAGGATTGCAAGGCTACACATTCAAACTCTCGACTCTCCTGTTCCAAAACTTTAAAAGTCCCTACTCACTGCAGTCAGGAGGCTCACAAAGTACCCATGAAAAATAACTAAACTGCAGAATATTTGGAATATTTGTCCTTTATCAAATGCTTTGACACCAGCTAAAGCAAATCACTTCTTTGCCTAATCAACAATCTCTTTTTACTTGTCAGAATATGTCAAAAAATACCAAAAACCCCAACAACAATAGCACACACTCATCACACACACATCAGGAAGTTCAAAAGCCAGGTTTTCCAGAAGGAGAATGAAATGACGAAACTGAGATCAGAAAAGTTACTCATTTATCACCCTCACATAATTCAGGCTGCACCTCTATCAGCCATAACCATCGTTCCATCTCACATAATTTTCAGTGCCACTAACTGCAGATCCATTAAGTGGATGTTCCTTATGCATATAACTCCACTCCTTAGTTACAGCACTGCAGGTTTCCTGGAGTATTTATTCTCAGCACTCCTCCCAGAAGCAGGGTTTTTTCCTCATGTGTCAATTCACAAATCCCTTCACAGGAATGGCAAACTGATCCTGTAAAATATAGCTTTACCTTCCATGTTCTTCCTTGCTTGTCTTCCATAGACTCTCTTTTTAAACCTGCCCCTTCAAAAAAATCCCAGCTTTAAAACACTAACAGTAATTCTTCCACATATTCCCAAAGGGCACTAAAAAAAAAATTTAAACATTTACATGTTTGAAAGTTTTGACCACGGAACAAAGATTTGTGACTCCAGCAGAGCTAGTGATTACATTATTATATTCCTGCACCATCCAAACCATCTCAAGGTCCAACCTGTATTTCTGAAGTCAGTATAAACACGTACAAATGCATTCATATACTGTACTAAACCACACTCTTCACATAGGTAGAGCTTTTATCAGCAACATTCTGCCCGTTTAAGAAGAAAAAAAACCAATCAGCAGCCAGGGACCACTTCTCTTTACACCACCGATAGATGTAACTACACTAGCAAGTCCAAACCTGAGCACAAGCCCGAGGTGGTCTTCTGCAGCACAGATAGGATAGCAGAAAAGAGAAAAAAATCATAAAAATTTTATGAAATAAGCAAGATGAGAAAAGGATGAAGAGACACCACAAAAGAACAAATAACATTTATGAGAGGCTACGACGGGGCATGAAAAGAAACGTGGGAAAATTGCCACATAGAGGTGAAAAAATTTTGTACTGCTTGGCCAATACAGAGTGACGGCAAGAAAAAAGAAACTTACAGCCGGTAAAAAGGGAAGAATTATTGCCCAGCAAAGTACCTCAATTGCCACACTGGATCAAAATCAAAAATACATCTTGCCTAGCATCCCACCTCCACTGTTGCAGTGGATTAAGAACACAAGAGATGGCCCGGGCTGATCTACCCAAGCAAGCAGCAGGCTAAGAGGAATGGTAATCACTTTTCCAACCCCCAAGTTGGTGCCACTTGGTATCTCAAGAAAAGAGACTCGTTTTCCACCTGAGGTATCATATGTGCTACAAAACAGCTCCCTAACCAGGATTTTCAGCTCACTGGATTAAAGTTGTTTCTTTTGGAAACCAGTTATGGTTCTACTTCAACCCAGTTCCTGGTCTTCCCCTTCCTCATGACCAAGACAGACAGCCTGGGCATTAACGAACTCATCATACCAGGACCATGTGAAATACATGTTTGCAGCATTTTTTACTTAGTTTCCTTTGTCTTTGTATCCTCCTCTGAAGACCCTTCAGTTCCTCTGAAGTCTAGAAATGCAAACAGATTCGATACCAGAGTTTTGAGGTCTTCTCCCCTTTGATTCAAGCATTTGATGTTGTCAAGCTCACAAAAACCCAGCAAGACTTTAGTGTCATAGCCCAAGCAGAGACTACAGCAACAGAACATCTGGGCTCTTATCTAGGCAGAGATCACAGAACCCTTCTGCAGGATACAGATCACCAGCAGGCTCACACAAGCCAACACCCTTCTTCAGTTTCCCTACCGCATTCTCCAGTACTCAGCGATTACCTGATGCTTATACCTCTCTCGCATCCTTCACAGACCTGCGCAGGAGAGGACGACGAAGCTATCGCAACGAAGCCTGTACCAAAAAGCTACCTTCCAATAGCTCCGGCTATGCCTCCAAAGGCACCAGAAAGCATCTTTCAGGATACCTGGCATGTTTCCGCACATCCTGCGGAAAGCGGCCTACCTGTCACCGCTGCAGCCGCTCTGCC